GTATTAGGAACGGTGCAGTGAGCAGGACCAGTAAAGTAATCCTGCTGCTGTACTTGGCGCTGGTGAGGCCTCACTTTGAGTACTGTGTTCAGTTTATGCACCTCAGTACAGAAAGGACATTGAGGTGCTGGAGCAGGTTCAAAGAAGGGCAACAAGGCTTGTGAAGGGGCAGCTGAACAAACTGGGGTCGTTTAGTCTGAGGAAAAGGAGGCTGAGGGGAGACTTGCTGCTCTCTTCCAATATCTGAGAGGTGCTTACAGCAAGAGCAGGGTTGGTCTCTTCTCACTGGTGACAGGATGAGGGGAAATGGCCTCAAGTTGTGCCAGGTAAGTTTAGGTTGGATATCAGGAAAAACTTCTTTACAGAAAGGGTTGTGAAAGTTGTGTTGGAATAGGATCCCCAGGGAGGTGGTTGAGTCACCATCCCTGGGTGTGTTTAAAAACAGTTTGGATGTGGTGCTCAGGGACATGATTTAGCAGAAGGCTGGTAGAGTTAGGGTAGTATGGGTAAGTTGTGGTTGGACTCGATTTTCAAGGTCTTTTCCAGCCTGAGCAATTATATGATTCTATGGGCTGTGCTCTAGAACTCAACCCCATAAAATGAAGAAGTAATAACACAGTATGTCAATCATGTACCATCATTTTCAAGCCAGGCTAGAAAAGCATAAAAAATATTTTTTCTTTTTCCTCCAAAATACTAGGCTTGGTCCAAACATAGCAGATATGATGAATTGCTTACAGGAAGAAAAATGTTTCACATGCAAAAAGCTTTACAAATGGCACAAAATCAGGATATTTGTCCATAAGTCCACTGTTACTCAGCAGGAAGGAGCTGAAAGTGTTTTATAATATGAAGCATATTTTCAATACACTTAAAGCTAAGTATTTCCCTTGGAAAATCAACTTCAATTTTAGTTTTTATTCCAAGAAACAAAAACATTATGCAGTTTAAAAACAAGAAACCAACAAAAAAAACACAAACATGGCAGGGTGGTTGGACCAGATCATCTTGAAAGGTCCCCTCCCAAACTATTCTATTACTCTATGAAGACATCTTTCTCTTCGAATCTCAAGTATAACAACATAGATCTGATACTCTTTTCTGCATACATCAAATTCCTATAAATAACAATCAATAAATCAGGTGATCATGTCTGTTAACCAAAAGACAGCAAAATGAACACAGAGTGCTAATTTTGGATTACCTTCCACAGCTGTCATCTCTAGAGAATACAGAGGGCTATCCTCAGGAGAATTTACTTAACCAAGTAACTGTCACTAAGAATAAAACAAAGAAGAACAGTTTCATTAGTAATCCTTCTAAAGTTAGAGCAGATTTACTGCAAGCAATTTGTCAATATATGAGGTGCTAATAGAACAGGTTAAGCACTGGTACATTTAACCCAACTATAATAAATAAACCAAACTATACGACAACACACTTTTTCCCTTGCTGCTAAAGGTGTAGGAGACTTCACACAGATGTGAAGTTATAAACAGCTCTTAAGGTTACACAGAGCCTTAAGCTATAAAGATCCTCCAAATGGAATTGAGAGACTTTTGACCAAGACTAAAATTTTATGGAAGTCTTCCTCATCCCTTTAACAGATGCATGGTGTAATTTAGACAAGTCATTCACCCACATTAGAACTACCTTTTTTTCAATTCTGTTTGAAGACTACTTTACATAAAAATCAGAACAAATTACAATGCATCCATTAAAAAATACCCACAATAACACTTAGAGGATGTTCCAGGAGAAAGTAGAAAGACAGTTTGGTTCAGAGGAGAGTGATTAGATCATAAATGAGACAAACTTAGAAATCTAATTGCTGGCTTAACATTTGAATGACACCCTTTGTTGTAGTATATACTAGTAATATAAATCTTAAGAAGCTTAATATTCTCTAAACCTTGGGTAATTCTCAACGATTTATTGTATATATGCAGAAGCCAAATCTGAGGGAAGGTGTAACAGAATTCAGAAGATCTTCACTAAAGCTAATCCTAAAGCAAGAGATATTTTACTCAGTTCCTACAAATAGGACAGAAATGTATTTAAAAAAAATATGCAAATAAAGGACTGAATTTGTCAGATGATGTTCTATTTTAGAAGTTGAAGGTCCACACTTCACAGAGAAGCTGACAGTACTCAGCAGCGTGTCCACATCTCCTACAAAATCCAAGTCACACAGTCCTCTCTCCATCACCTGCCACTTGCACAAAAGTATTTGGAAATGTTAGCTTCTTCCAAGCACAGGGCAAGTAGAGACATGCAGAGAATAAGTAGCTATGGAATTGACACTGGAAAATAAGTAGCTATGGAACTGAAATACACCAGTAAGTGTAATATACTTCTATTCTCCAAAAATAAATGCAATCATCACAAACATCACTATGCTGATAGCTCATTAAGCATAAAACATTTTCTTATCAAAAGAGTAGGAAGTGAATGAAAGGAACCGAGGAAAGTAACCCCTTGTGCTGCTAAAGCTTTACAAGTCTTTAGTTCAGCTCCTGCCTCTAAAAGAAGCATTCAGTATACCTTATAATTGATTCTGTACCAACACTGCCAGCAAAGAACCCATCTGACTATCAAACATGCAGCTCTTAAGACAATGAATAAAGACAAACTCATATCTCACAAGCCATAAGCGGACAAAACACAAGTGGAAGCATTCTACCCTGTAGGCAGTTGTACCCTACTGTAAAAACAGAAAAATTACTACAATCATCCCATTATACCCTTACTTAAACAGCCTTCTGGAATGGAGAAAGGCTGCTAAGCCATGCCCAAGGCATGTTAGTGATATGTGTCACTTGTGGCCCTGAAGATTTAAATCAGTGTCCCATCACTGGCAGTTTTCCTACCCCACCTTCTACGCAGCCTCAAATAAAAGCCCCTCAGTCCAACTCTAAGAGAGCAATGCTAATAAGATGCTATCAAGGAAAGCATCCCTACAGTTACCCTGGGCTGCATCAAGAGGGGTGGCCAGCAGAACAAGGGAGGGGATTGTTTGAACACTGGGCTGTGCATGGAACAGGGATGTAGTAGAGATCCTGTTGGGAATGGCACTGTGCACGAGACGGGGCTGTGCATGGATTGAGGCTCTACATGAGCCCTACGAAGCTGAGGGATGAGCATGGGATTGTGCATGACTTCATGGTATGGGTAGTAATGGAAATGGAGATAGGTTGTGTTGGAGCTAGAGATAGAAACAAGAACAGGAAAGAGCTCCAATGTTCCCACCCACACATCCAACAGGGTCAAGGATGGTGCCAAAGCTGCAGCCCCCAAAACCTGCTGTGCTCCACAATGGGGCTCTGTCCCTTCTCCCCTCTTTTGCCACCTTTGTACCCACAAAACCAATGATAAGAATCAAACAAACACATGCATGTATTTTCTCATGCATGTATTTTCTCATGCATGTATTTTCTCATGCATGCACATATAAGTACCCAGAAGAGCTCTGTAAAGGGATCTCCTTATCTTGCCCCACAGAAATAGCAGATCTGCTCTAAAAGATAATAATGTGTTATAATATAATACTATTACTAATAATATTATTAACTATAACAAAAAAGGATGGGAAGAAAACTTTCTCAATCAGCTTGCAGCTGCTGTAAATGCAGGGCTCAGGTACAGCAGTGGCATTTCTGGTGTGCCCTGGTCCAGTTTCTTGTTAGAGGGGAAAAGAATAAACCATGTCTTTCAGAACTCATTCATCTCCCCCCACATCTCTTCTTTAAATAAGAAATAAATTTAATTCACACCTGGTATATGCAATCACTGACAGAAATAGTGCAAGTCTGTGTTTGAGCATTGGATCCACCACATTGGATCAGTTGTGTTTGAGTCAATGAACCCTATCGGTCCCTTACAACTCAGATATACTATGACTGTTCTCCTGTACTCTGCCCTCACGAGGCCCCTATGGAGTACTGCATTGAGGCTCAGAGCCCCCAGCACAGGAAAGACACAGAGCTGTTGGAACACATCCGGAGGAGGCCATGAAGATGACCAGAGGGTTGGAGCACCTCTCCTACGAAGAAAAGCTGAGGGAGCTGGGCTTGTTCAGCCTGGAGAAAAGAAGGCTGTGAGGTGACTTCATTGCAGCCTTTCAGTACCTAAAGGGAGCCTACAAACAGGAGGGGAATCAACTCTTTATAAGGGTACATAACTGCAGGACAAGGGGAAATGGTTTTAAGTTGAAGGAGGGAAGATTTAGGATGGGCATCAGGAGGAAATTCTTTACTATGAGAGTGGTGAGGTGCTGGAACAGGCTGCCCAGAGTGGATACCCCATCCCTAGAGATGTTCAAGGCCAGTCTGGATGGGGCCCTGTGCAGCCTGAGCTGGTAGGCAGCAGCCCTGTCCGTGACGGGGGTTGGAACTTCCAGCCCAAGGCACTCTATGGTTGCAAATACGAAGGGAATAAAACCCACAATAACACTCTTCCTTAGAGACAGCTCCCTCACTCAGCAATAAAACCCCAACACGTACGCCCATAACATCTCACTGTGAGAAAAATAAGTAAATAAACAGAAAAATACCTGAACTCACAGGGAAAAGCGTGCACCACCTGCGGGCAGAGCATTCCGCAGACACACGGGCAGCGCCCACCTCAGCGTAGCGAGTCCCGCAGCTCCCGAGGCCCGTGACGGAACCGCAGCGACCACGCGCGCAACCTCTGACCGCGCCTCGCTACGCCCGCTCCCACGCGGCCACAGGCACCCCACGGCTGCCGCGCCCTCCCACCTGCCGGCCGGCTCCCAAGCTCCACCCCTCCCCTGCGTCCCCTACTTCCGCTGCCGGCTCCCCTCAGCCAATCACCTACAGCGAGACGAGCGCGAGCATCACCACGCGCTGCCCTCTCCCCCAATCCACGCCGACGTTACGAGCCTCCCGCTCGGCGGAACGAAGGCGGAGGGGCAGAGCCGCTCGAACAAGGCGGCTGCTAATTGGGCGCCGCCCCGCCAATCGGCGCTGTCCTTTCAGCCGGCGGCGAGGCGAAGGGGGCTGCGTGTTTCCGGAAGACGTGGCCGTTGTCGCCCTGCTCCTGCCGTTCGGTTCTTTCTCCTTCCCCGCCGTCGCCCCGCCGCCACCATGATCTCCCTCTCGGACACGCAGAGTGAGCGCCGCGCCCTCGCCCCATTGGCTCCCGGTGGGAGGGGAATGCGGGTCTCCTGCCGCGGCGGAGTGCCCGTCGGAGTGCTGGCGGGAGGGCTGAGTGAGCCCGGCATAGGGCCGCACGTGACGGACCCACCCCAGCGTCGCGCCCTTTGTTGGCGCTTCTCGCTTTCGGAGTATGGGCGAAGCACGGGGCCGGGCGGAGCGGTGGAGTCGCTGGGAGGGTCCGGCTCAGGCGGTGATTGCCGGCGGTAGGGGTGTGCGGGCCGAGAGGGAGCTCAGCTGCTGCTGTCAGCATCGCCGTGCTTTGAGGGACGCTATGGATGCGCTCATACCTTGGGGCGGCGGTGCTGATGGGGCTCGTGGGGTGAAGCTGAAAGCGAGGGGGGTGTGAGCTTAGAATAGAGCCTATCGGGGCCCTCCCAGCATCTTCAGGTGGGCGTTGGTCAACAGCGCTGCTGCTGCCGGCGTCTGCTTTGGGATGTGAGGTGTTTCGCGGTGGTGGTGTTGCTGCCTGGCGGTAATGGCAAGAAGAGAATGAATGAAAACTGACTGGTACACAAAAGTGAGAATTGGCAGATGCCTGTTATTCCGTATGCCTCCATGTGGACGTTAATGGTTTTGAGTAAATACATATCAGTGTCTTTACTGTTCCTTTTAACTTTGCTACTGAATGGAGTTTGCAGGTGACATAGAAGGGGTTTTAAAGTGAGCAGCGGGCACTCAGTCTGAAACAAATGAAGAACAGCTTGGACCTGACAGTAGTTTTGCTTTCCCTGACTAGGAATAGCTGGGGTTAAAAATGCTGAAAGGGGAAATTGAAAGAAATCAGAGGGCTTGTAGGCATTGAAACTGCAAAGAAAAGGGGAACATCATTCTTTTATTTAAGTTAATGCGTCATGCATGATGCATTCTCAGTATAGTTATCATAAAAGGAAATGAGTGTTGTAATGTTGCTCAAAGGAGGACAAGTGTGAAAGCTGTAGGGAAAGGAAGTTTAACTTGATAGCAGAGCACTGAAAACACTGGTGAACCAACTGAGGCAAAGGATGTAAATGGGCAGTACAGCAGGTTAGCAACACACAAGGTTAATGACTTCCTGAGAAATTCAGGTGCTATGCTCTGCTACTGGAATGGGTGTTAAATTTTAGAGCTAATTCTTAGGTATATAATCTGTTAAAACCTTGTAGGCTTCACTTTTGCTCATTCCTCCGTTGTCCCATTCAAAGTATTCATTGGGAAAAAGAGCTCTGTTCACTGTTTGTACTTGTGTTAATTTCTTTTTGGGACACTGAGCTAACTGTTAGCTTTAACTCAGAGCTGCGAGTAGTAGATGTAGTGCGAGGCTTTTGAATTTCAGCATTTTTCTAAGATATTTCTTCAGATGTTTTGAAACTCACTTCTGTTAGGGAAAATACAGAATTGTAACACAAAAAATAATTACTTTTATAAAAAAGATAGAGAGTGTGTAGTTCCATCCCTTAACTTTCATAACCAGTCTATCTTAAGACTTAGTATTTGCTAAGATTTTGGTGCTTTGCTGCACTACTCACACAATTCATGGGGTTTCTGTAGGAACACTGGGAATGTGTTGATCCCTCCTCTCTGCAAATTGCAGTTATTGAAGGATAGCTGTCACATGGCTGGAATGTGTATCTGCATTTCTAGACACTGAAAAAGTTGTATTTGAGTGATATATAGGAAGGCTTTTATGTCGTGGGAGAAAGCATTCTAACAGTAGTTTGTGCCCATCACAAAACTTCCTAGCTTGTTGTTTGCCAAGACTACAAAATGACAGGGCCAGACATACTTGACTTGATGTTCTTTGGAGGAAAAAAAAAAAACAGAACTAACACAGTTCTGATGTGATTGGATTGGTAACATTTACTTGAAATGAGTCCAGAACTACTGCCCTCCATTGCCAGTATCTCATCTGCTTTCAGCAGTAACTTTGGGATGATGAGAATGGTGGGCATTTTTTTTCCTGTGCTAACCAGAGAGTGTGGTTGATTTCTAAAGGGAAACTGAACCCGCTGTGGCAGTAAGTGGTTACAAATGGTTTTCAAGTGAATACAGAAGTGTTAGAGCTATAATTGCAGCAGCTGTTGGGAGTTAGCCTCTGTTTCTTGCTCGCACCCCACTTTGTACTGTGTCTGAAGAAGGAATGAGTACTCGCTTCCCGTGGCAGCATATTTATCTTATTGGCAGCTGGTAATTCCTTTGGAATCCTGCCTCAGAGTGTTTTCTTTCCAGAATACAGATTGTTTCTGCTCTTCTAAAGTAAAGAGCACTAGAAGAAAGGGCAGACTACAATTCCTATGTTAGTTTCAGTCAGTTGATTCAGTGGAGATGCAATTTGCAATTCACTGTTCATTGCAGTTCATTGTAAGAAAGTACTGTAAATGTCTGCAGAGAGTTAATTGTCTTGTAGTGATTTTAATACAGAGTGGTTAAAATGCTCATAGTAAAGCTTTAATGTGGCAGACTTAATACCGTGATTTAACACCATGTGGTCAGCAACCTTGCTGAAAGGAGAAGTTGGGGAATCTGGACGTTGCTGTAACAAATCTCTTTACTCTGAGCTGTTTGGGAATTTTTTGTTGTAAATTAAGCATCTGAAGTCGACAGTGTTATGATCCTTCATTCCTGAGCTCTTCAGGCAATGTTAAATGATCTGTGTTGCAGTCAAAAGAGCAAATAAAAATACTTTTAGATATCTCTTCCAGATTTAATTTGGCTAGTGGTATCAGTGAAGGGCTTTTTGTTTGTTAGGCCTAGACCACACAAAAATACTGACATCTTTAAAGTATACTGGATTGCCAGCCTGCCTGTATTAACACTGTTAGTTAATGTTGTTCTTGCTAGCTATGTGTTTGTCCTGTAGATTTCTAAATTCTCCAGTCACGATGGTGAGTGCGTGGATAAACACCAAAGCTTTTACAGCTAAGATTGCTTCTGTTCCTGTTATTTCTTGTATTCGGTCTGTGTGAGAGTGACAGGAAGACCATAGGCGTTTAATTTTAAAGATGTGATGCACTTCTGTGTATGTTCTTCAAAATACCTCAGAGGCTATTGTCAAATGATGGTTTTAATCGTAGCCTGACATTTCCAGGCAAATGAATCTTCCATCCTGCTCTTGCCTATCCAATATTTCTTGAACAGCCTTGACCGACAGGCAGAGCTCAGAGATAGATACCACCTACGAGTCCTGTGAAAACTGACAGCTGGCAGGAGACCCAAGCTAATGTTTAACAGCCATCAGCATGTGTTATATGGAAGCAGCCTGCAGCATTAATCTGTGTTGCATTTAATCCGGAAGTTGGGAAAATGGGATTGCCATGCATGTAACATGGAACGTGAGGTCTCAGGAGGACGAGGTACTTGCGTGTTCGCAATAAGCATTATGGGATAAGAGTTGCAAATAGAAAACAAGGTTTTATTATCTGTTCCCAAAATAGTCCTTGCTAGCAGTAAATCAAAAGGGATGTTTGCCATATGTGTATATCCATACATGCTTTTGTTGCATTCCATTTCAGTACATTGTTAAATTGATCCTTTTTATGATAAGCAGTTCCCAAACATCTCTTTTTCTGGTATTGAAATAACTGGTTTATACAGGACTAGCTTTATTTGTACGTTCAGGGAAATTTTTAAGTAGTGAAATAGCGAATGAAATAGTCTGTGAGCTTGTCTATGAATTTAAACTTCCTGTGTGTTGCATCTTCCAAGTTTGTATCAATTTCTAAGCATGAGTTTTTCCTGTTACCATGTTATGTAATATACTTAATTTTATTTCTCCTTGCAGAGATCGGAATGGGTTTAACCGGTTTTGGAGTGTTTTTCCTTTTCTTTGGAATGATACTCTTCTTTGACAAAGCTCTTCTTGCTATTGGAAATGTAAGTGTGTATCTTTTAAGTATATAACGTATTAAAAATAAATTTAGAAGATTATATGTTTTCAATTAGAAACTGGGTCATAACAGGTACTGTGGTAACTTAGTGTAAAGGAAGAGTTATGCGCAGTGATCTCAGTGAATCATTTTCTCTGATTAACATTAGAGCAGCTCACATCAATCTTAATGTTGTACCTCCAGGTCAGGCCTGTGGTATGTTGGTCTGACAAGCAGCAGCTTGTCCTACAGTTATGCTGATGCAAATAAGATTTCTAGATTAGCTATCATTACTAACACTTTCTTTTTATGGTCTTGTAAGGTAACTGTAAAAGCTAGGTATCTATTTGAGTAAGAATGCTGATGGCATGTTCTGTGCATTCTGTTAAATGCTGTTTTGCTGTGCTTTGTTAGGATGGAGAGAAGCATGAATTGCTGGTAATGGCTTAGGAGAGCAGATCACCACAACAGAAAGCTGAAATATCTTCAGTTTTTACCAAAATGAAATTTTTGCTTAAGCAGGATAGAAAATAAATCCTAGGTCAGGTACATAAAATAACATGGTGTTTTCTAAATCTGATACTGCTGTGCCCCAGCTGTTGTCAGCTTTGCCAGCCAGCGAGCCCAGCTTGATAGAGATTTGTGTCCTCCTTTTGATTACCAAAAGTCTGTGGACAAAATGGACCAGTTTCAATCTGTGACAGCAGTATCAACTACTGCGGTTTGTTGGATGGAAACTCTATGAATGTTCTTTGAATTTGGGTGCACACTGAAAAGAGTAGAGAATAAAACAGTGCTTATATTGCTGTGTTTCTAAGATAAGGTGGAAATGCAAGATCCAGTTTGGGGAAAATAATGAGAATGTAGGTAGGAAGACACAGTTAAAGGCAATGTGGTAACCAGAGATAACACAAGAAAAGTTACTATATATCATCAGAGGAAAGTTTAATTATAAAAGAGAAGGGGTAAAAGGTGGTAAGGAAGTAGCTTCATGTTTATGGTTTGTGTTTGTTTTTTGTTTTTTGTTTTTTTACATAACGTAAACTTGAATTTCATCTGTTAGTTATGAGTAAAATCTGAGACGTTAATCTCTTTCCAGAAAAGATGTTGCCCAGATGTATGCTTACAGAATGAAGTAATGCTCTGCTGCTGAAGGATACTCAAAACAGTTTTAGTTAGGTTAGACTGCTGTGATGATGGTCAGCCTACACTGGAACTAGTGAATAGTAGTAGCCTGTTACACAGACAAAATTAAGGAAGATAGCTGATAATGCCCTTCAGCTTTTTTCTTGTTTTGCCTTTGCAATGATCGGCACAAGCTATTGAAAATGACCATTATAGGGTGCTTCTGAGCATGTCTGTTCCCAGTTATAGGAATCTTAGCTGTTAGTGGTACTAATCTTCAGTACTGACTGCAGGTAACAACTGTATTTATATTACAGGAAAGACAGCTGTTGTCACCAGGTCTTCTGACATGATTATGCTTGTTAGAGGCCACGAAGGTAGACTCTTAAAATCACTAATAAGTTCTCTCATTGTTAATCTCGATATTAAAATAAGTTGTGCAAAAATGCAGTCTAATTTTGTAGATTAATAATATGTGCTTGCATTCTAAACTTAGGAATGTATTTAGCTGTGTTCTTTATTTGGTTGGTTTTTGTCTCTTCTAGGTTTTATTTGTGGCTGGCTTGGCTTTTGTTATTGGTTTAGAAAGAACATTTAGATTCTTCTTCCAAAAACACAAAATGAAAGCAACGGGCTTTTTCCTGGGTGGTGTGCTGATAGTTCTGATTGGTTGGCCTTTAATAGGAATGATTCTTGAAATTTATGGGTTCTTCCTATTATTCAGGTAAGACTTGCTTCAAAATTGCTTTCTATATTGATGTATTGAGGAGCACATGTACTTGCTTAGTGTACTGTATTACAACTGGGAAAACATTCTTTGAGTGTTCACTTCTGCTGGATTTTGTTTAAAGCTGTTGGGTTATATTTGCAAGAAGTGAAAAGGTTCCAGGACTCAAATTTGCTGATGTTGGTGAGGCAGATATCAAACCGACTTCTGGCAATGTAGCTTATATCTAATCCAATAACTGTACAGCTTCAAAGTATTTGGGAGATCAAATTATTGTAAGTGCCAAGTTTTAAGTATCTCCATATAAAAGAAAACTAAAATGCTTGTATTTTCTTGGTTTTGTTGGTTAAGTTGTTGGTCGTTCGGCTTTTTTGGTGGAGAGTTTGTTCTTTGAATTAATAAATGAGGCAAAATATGTGCTTACAAACATCTTAGCCTCCAAACCTTGCAGGTGAGGAGGTGGCTTCTGTGATGTGTTGTTATACTTGTGCCCTGTTTACAATGTATGAGATGCTGGTTTTGGTTACTGATGTCTGAAATGACTTAAGCATTTGTTTCTCCACTATGTAGGTATGTTACATACTTAATAAGATTACAACAGGTATGTTGCATCTGTTACAACATGTCATTTAACTTACAATTAATTGTAAGGGTGAAAGAACCTGGGTTGTTGCAACATACCATTTATTTCCTTGGTTGAAGTTCCATACTTCAGAAAACAAAGTAAGAAAGTGTGTTAATATAAGTAAGAAGGGAAGATTTTGTCGGTTCCTGGACTTCTCTTTTGAAGACAAAATTCCATCTAATGCTTATTTATTTAACTTAAAGCCCACTGAATTGTTATCTCAAAGTCACTAGGACTACATCTTACCCTGAAAAGTGTCAACAACTGATAAATAATTCCAAATGAATTTTTAAACTTGCCTCTAAACAACTTTTCCTACTTCTTGATACTTGCTAAGAATTGTATCTCTTACAGTGCTAGCAAGTTACTACTTCAAGCAAAGCTCTATGTTTTGCTTCAGATTTGTCAGTATCAACTGTAATTATGTTTTTGGGAACTTTTTGTGTGGCAGGTGCACTGTATTATACTTTATTTGGTCTCTTTATTTATTTATTTATTTTAGACCACTAAAACAGTTCCACCAGAATTTTTGTGTGTAGACAGTTCTCTTGTACATTTAGACTTCTTGTATGAAGTCATCTTTCATACTCTGTAGAAGAAATTGCACAGAGCAAAGCTTTTAGGTACTGGTAGCCAGGAACACTTAAACAGTTAATAATGACAGCAGAGATTTTTACTTAATACATGTTTTACTGCAGTGAGAGAGATGCAGTTGTGATTTTACTCTGGATTATATCCAGAATGTTCTTCCCTTTATTTAGCGTACTGCCAGAAGTTTCCTATCAGAGGTTCAGTTCTTTGCCTTTACACATTCAAATTGCATTCCCTGGAGACAGCTATTACAGTACAGTCTCTTTTATCATAGTCTAAACTGCTCTCAGAGCCTTGTTCAGATCAAAGATACCCAAAGTTCTTGTTAAAGATGCTATCCTAACTATAATGACTATTTTGCATTCTTGGCTACACCAATTACACGTCTGTCTGTTAAAAGTGGTTTGTGTGCCCTGCATCATGGTATGTAGGTTCAGTGTAATGATCTGGTCTTTAAAAAAGAATAATAATAAATGGATAGCCCAGGGAGGAGGGAGGACTTACTGATATTGATGTGATCCAACAAATCGTTTTTACCAGCAAGAGGATGGTGAATAGTGAAATTCCTCTGGTCAGACATGACAGGTAGATTTAGATGCCAGTCCTTATTCTATGCTGGGAAGTGTATAGCTCAGCTAGAGAACTTAGAATGCCAGTACCAGCTGAATTGCTGCAGTTGACTTCAGACAGCTGAGATACTGCCACAGAAAATCCTTCTTCCTGCTGCAGGGACAAACAGGTAGTGCAGGGGCTAGACCCTGCCAGCTGTAAAAGGCAGCAACTCCTGGCTCGTTATTCAAATTTCTGACATTACATGTTTTTGTCAATTATGTGAGTGCACAAACATGTTGTGCTTAATTTTCTTTAATCGATTAAACGCTGCCATATCTGGTTTCAAAGTGGATTACGTAGAATTACCTTCTAAGTGTTTTTACATTGGATATAGAGTGATGAGTGATATTGCAAGAATGTATTTCCTATAAGGTTAAAAACAAGTTATCTCGATGTTTATAATAATTTTGAGAAAGTAGATGAGAACATCAGTTCTCTTGACTAAGTTGGATATTCATCTCTTAGTTAATTCTCTGAACAGCTGATTCTGAAGGTTGCCAACTATGAGGAAAATGTTTACCTCAATTTAAAATAATCTTTCTTTCTGGTTTTTTTTTGTTTTTTTTTTCTTTGCTAAATGTCTGTTTATGTATTTGGTGAAGTAATTTTCAGTGAAGGAATGACAGGACTTGAATTTCCAGTTCTTCAGAGCAACGTTAGAATAGTTTGTTTATAAAAACTAATACGATATTTTTATCTAACCTAAAGGGGGTTCTTTCCTGTGGTGATTGGCTTTATTAGAAGAGTTCCAGTCCTTGGTTCTCTCTTGAATTTACCTGGTATAAGCTCGGTAAGTGTTTGGCACTTAATGTAAAATGCAAGGCTTTTGCTGTTTTTCCTATTTCATTACTATTGCAGTAGCACAAATGCATTGGGAGTAAATAAGATACAGCTTTTTATAACAATGAATTTGAATGTATTACTGCATAGTTTTTGAACCGTACAAATAACCCTCAAATAACCCTCTTTCCCAGTGAGAGGCTTTCAAATGTAAAAGAAACAACACCTTTGCAGAAGCTGCCCCTGCTTAAGCCTTGTAAAGGGGAAAAAGCCCTGGATTGTGTGTCAGGATTGTGACTATGAATACTGGTTCCTGCCTCACTGCTGGCCCTAGGTGACCACAGACAGGCAAACCGTGCAACTGTTCTGTTGTGCCTCTTCTGTTCTGTGCCTCTTCTCCTGCCTGTCAGATGAGAGAGGCATTTCTCCTCTTTGTGCAGCATCTGGATGTATCTAAGAAAAGTGGTCTGTAGTAACAAAGAGGTTTGCACAGTGTTAATTTGCAGCTTGCATGGTGAATCCAGAAACTCTCATTATGCATAATCATTCATCAAGTACAACATTTATTCAGGCCTGCTGTAACGGATTGATTCTTGGCTATTTACTAAACTCTGTACTTCTTCAAATGCAGTTTTCCATTTTCATAACTAAGTAACCAGGGATTCTTAACTAAGTAGCCAGTAAATGGGTGCCAGAAAGATGGTAATCTAGGTAGGGTATTTTGGTCAACTGCTTTTACTGTGATAATTTCTGTATGTATTTTAACACAAGTGTTTTTAACCCTGGTTTTGAAAGCTGCAGTTTTAATAGCTACTGCTTAAAAATTAATAGGGGACGTAACTAAGAGATATATCAGTCTGTATTTTAAAAATCAGTTTTCAAGATCATGTGTTCCAATTGTACAGCTTAGGCCACATTCTGGCTCATCGTTCATGATCAATTGAATGTTTTACTTGTCAATTGATCTTGTCTACTCACGTTTAATTTGATCATAATGGGGTTAAATCTTCTTTTAAAAAGATAATTGTTAATGTTTTATTCAAAGCCTACGTAGGCTCAGAAGAGAATCCACAGTAATGGTCAGTTGAAATATCTTACTTGGTCTTCTAATGCATGTGTGGCTGATACCGCATTGTTTTGTTTTAATCATTAAGCTAGCAGTGGTATCTGTATTCTTCTATTTCCTTTTTCATTCTCTTGCATCTTCATGTTGCGCTGTTAATGTCTTATATAAGAAAACATGTCATCTAGAAACACAGTTGCAATGCAAGATTTTTAATTTCACAAACTTAAATCATGAAACCTTGGTGAGTACTACTCTCATTTTCAGTTACATACCAACTGTGCAAACAGCAAGTTGCATCTGAGATTAATTCAATTGTACATGAGAGTATTGTAGCTTAAAGCTTCTTTTGTTTCTTTTTTGCAGCTTGTAGATAAAGTTGGAGAAAGCAACAACATGGTATAATGACAACAGGGCAGAAGACTGATTCTAAACTTATTGTATTATTTATAAAATCCTTCTGAAGAATACTCAGCACAAAGATTAAGTTGTGTACAAAGGAAAGGCTTGTAACATTCTTTACATAACAGTTTAAATTAAAATGTATAGTCGACAGTATACATTAGAAGCTGGGCAAGTATGCTTCTAGGAAAAGTAACTCCAGAGTTCAGGAAGTAAACTGAAGAGGTGAAAGTCATGGAATAACTCACATTACAACTGTTCAAGACTGTGTTTGTTGGTTTTGGAAAAGGTAATGAACCCTTCCGGATTTAAAGGTGCCTGTACTTTACCTCCTCATTGTGAAGGTGCAGTAGAGCAAACAGGCCTCCATTTTTAAGGTCACTCCAACTTCTCCAACCTTCCTCTTGTTACCCTCAGAATGCAAAACAAACAAACCAAAAAAAAAAAAAAAAAAAGCAGAGTACAGAGAACTTGTGTAACAGGAGATGCACCTTTGCATGAAAGTTGAGATGACTGTTCATCTCTAAGTATATCATGACTAAAAAGGAAATCCTGCACACTTCTGTTGTATGCATTTCTGTAAATATGTGGTTGAAATAAAACATTAAGGTAATGTTTCAAAGCCAAATGTAAGTTGACTGTATTTGCCTTCCATTTTGGAATATGCAGAAGGTCAGTCTTCAGTAACTTCAGTCTTAAGTGTTGATTCCGAACATGTAGAGTTCAACAGGGAACTCTAGAAACTGACTTACACTCCTTCCAGTTTGTTCTTCTTGAGTCATGTTATGTCTGCATCCAGGTGAGAATGTAGCCCCTTCTCACTAACGTGGAAACTTCAAAATGTGTTTGGTTAAAAAAACAAAAAAAATGCACTTGGTTACGGTGCTGACATGGATCTTGTGAAATGTATCTTATCAAAATATGAACCTTTTGTTTTTAAATGGTTTGAAGCTAAGGTTTCTTTGTTTATTCTGGAACTACAAGTTGACGTTTATTTTTTACAGTAATAAAATGAAAACTTAAAACTCTGTGTATGTGAGTCTCTGGGGAGCAAATTTAGTGAATGGGCTAATTAACAATCAAGTGCCAATCTCAGCGTTACATAACTTGTTCCTTGAGTTATCTTCAAACCTTCAAATAACTCAAAACTTGTATCTGTCATAACAACAACTTAGCCATTGCCTGGAGTATGTGTCCCCCACTAATGCAAAGGTCACTTGCTGCTTCTCTTGGAATGTTAAACATTGTGTACTTTCAATAGATATAGCTATAGATACCTAACAAAAAGTGATCGTTAAGTGATCACTGCATCTGTGAAGGTTTTGGGGATTTTCTGTTTTAATGTTCTTTTTCCCTTCAAATGTAATCCCGAAAACTTACTGAAATGCAATGATAGTATTTCACCTAGCTATGTAGTCTTAACGGCCTAATGACTGATCTTATTATTATGCAGTTAAAATTGGTATTTTTTCAAAACATCTTTTAAGAATTCTCAGATACTGTTTTGGAAGTTGCTACAAAGCTTTTTGTATAAGGCACCAGTGTTTTCTCATTGCAGCTGCATTAATGTTAATGGAATGGCTGTGACCTAGTATTTCTAACTCCTATATTTAATTAGTTTCCTTCTCAAACAGGCACAAAATGATTCACTGGGAGGAAAAAATGCCATGACAGTTAGTGAACAGTATCTGAGAAGACACATCAGTGTTTTCTTGAATGTTTATATGAAAAAGTTGGCTATATTTGCCTGATAGCATGTGTTACATATGGACTAAATGTGACTTGTGGCTCCTACCTCAAGAGATGAACCAGTTTTAACTGTTCCTGCGGATCTGTTGTGTGTTCAATGACTAGAAATAACACTACAACTGTTCAGCAAACTCATCATGTTTGCTTTGGTAGAGCAGTAGTCTGTACTGTGGGAATCAAGTGCTGTTTAAAGCAGTGTTCATCATTTACATTACAAGTCAGCTACCTGAAGATTTTTCTTGTCTTTTGAAAAGTAAGCTGCTGGGACAGGTGGATCATGCCGTGTGACTGGAGCTCTAACTGAAAGCAGATAGCTTGGTAAGCTGAAATTCTTTCATCGACAAGAAATCTGACATCTTTCAGTGGTAATGAATGCATTACTGTGTATTATCTTTTAGCCCTCTGGAATTGAGATGTAGGCAGTTCATCTTGCTCCTGTTTAATTTTTTGTTTTAAATGAAAAGTCAATTTTTGTCAGTTTTGAACTGTTGTGAAATGCATCTGAGGGAACAAAAGGGTATGCTGAGTTTCACAGTCTTAATCCCTCAAGGTAATGTTGTCTTTTAGATGGTTTTGCCAAGATAAATGTGGGTGGCAGCAATGGTCTAAACTACTTAGCCTTAAATGTTTCTGTTGTTTAAAAAAAAAAAATCTCTAACAGAAACATATTTGGAACGTTTCCTCTTTCATATGTAATTTATAATTGCTGCTTTAAAAAAAAAATTGTAAGGGTGGATTTCATTCTGAGCAAATGGATACTGTAAATATACTTGTCATATCTTGAATAAATGGGTACCTTTTTCTATAAGTTGTCTTTGTGTCTCTTTACACCTGAATGCTGAGAAAACGTTTTGACAAGTATTCCTTTCCAAAGGTTAAGGAGTATGTGCTTTTCCATCTTATGGTGATTTTACTTTCATAGTGAATAGTCTTTGATTAATCTTAATTTAAAAGTTTGTCTCTTACAGTAAGTATTCTTTTACATAAGCATCTGCCCCTTGCTTTTGTAGGCATCTTCCTGTACTGCTGCTTGATCCCAGGGGCAATCCACTGACAATGCATAGCTTCCAGGTGAATAGGACATTCTCAATTGCAGTGTGTGATGTTTTCCATTGCTTTGTTGCTCACTACTGTGTAATCCTGAGCACCTTGAGCTTTAGTACTTTGGTCAAAATCTGTTTCTGAAGACAACAGCTACAATCGCAGTCACAATCCCAGCTGTTTTTCATGTTCTAGTTTCAAACATCACAATGTGAAAATCACAATTAGGTTGGAAACTTTGCTAAACTACCATGTCCTCTTCATGCAAGAAAGGAAGTAAGTGAAAGTTTAGGAGAAAAAAGATGTGTCTAGAACTTATGGCAGGTTCTGATCCCTCTATTTCAAGCACACAGGTGTGATCTCTGTATCCCAGAGAGTGGCCTGATAAGCAGGCTTTGTTATTCTGTAGTGATGTGCAAGCTTGCATCCCACTGCTGTGGATTTTCATAGAAAAAGTAGAATACCAAAGCAGGAATTTAAATTTGTTGTTGAGGTGTGCTTGTTCTAAGTACTAGGTGGTGCTCTAAAACCTTAGTTTGACTGAAGTTTTAGCCTTTCTACTAGCTTTGGTAAAGTTGGTTATATCCTAAGAAGGTGGTTGTATCCAAGGAGTTAATGCTTCCTGGTTTAAAAAAGAAAAAAAATTCCGAGTACACCTAGTTGTATCTGTTAAACTGTGAGAGATATAATCTAAATCTGTGTATAGTTTATGGCCAGTTACTTTTGGGGAACCGTTGCCATTAATTAACCAAGAATACTTTGACATTGTTATTGCTCACAATATGGTACTGCTATTTTAAGAGACTATCAGCAAGGTTATAAAAGACATCTCTGCAGAAGATGTCACAAGGCAAGACTTTATTTGATTACTTTAAAGCAATCTCCTTGCCAAGTTTCAAGCTAATTTCAAGATATAGGCTATTCTAGCTGCCACCTTTCTGGTTTGCTTAATTATAAAGCTGAAAAAGTAAAGTTCACTTCCCTATAATGACTGTAGGTTTCCCTGCAGTCCCTTTTAATATGTTGCTATCAGCCCTTGGTCTCCATCTCTCTGGCTGCTGTGTCCTGGCTTCCTTTGACTATTACTTCTAATCTTCATGTTACCATTATCAGCTCTGACAGCACCAGTGTGCCATTTCCAGTCTTTTTTAATAAACAGTTTTGGCTTTTGTGGCCCCCTATTGTTCCCTGCTTTACCCCTGTAGTATTGGTCTTGGCACATCAAAACATTTCAGAAAATCTGCAACTCGTGCTTAGTCTAACAGGGATTCTGAAGTTACCGTAATCCCCGTCCAAGCAAATTTCAACACATTTTTAATATGCTAATGCATCCCCCTCAACTACGTGATAATTTGCAGAAAAAAAATGACAGAAGTGATGCGGAGTAATTTAGTGTGAAACTCATGATGCCGAAGTCGGGATTTGTAAACAGATCTTGAGATATATCTCCAAGATGCACGCGTGCGATAGAGCCGTCCTTAGCAGCTAGTTTATCCGCACGCCTGGAAGTCTGCTCGCTGAAAGCCGTGTACCTGCCACCCTGCAGCGGGGCCGCCAGGGGGAGCTGCGAGGAAGAGAAACGTCGGTGCTTCCCAGAAACCCTTCTTGGAAATTTTTGGTCAGTCTGCAGTATTTCTGCGGAGTCTCTGTAAATTTCAATTTAGACTTGGTGAACTGCCTTGTAGTTTTAAACCACCAAATGAGTGTTGAACTTTTTACAGAGAGCCACTCACTGTGAAACGCGTGGAGCTGGCCTGTCTCTCAGCTGGCAGCGTTCAAAGCAGTCACGCTGAAATTCGAGGATGAATGAGGACAGTCAGCATTCAGCTTGCGACAGTGCAGTTGCCTGACCGTCTTCCTTTCTCCAGTCACTCAAAAGCTCTTCCACTAAAATCAGAAAAAGCAAGATTTGCAGTTTATACTGTTTTAGTGTGAAAGACGTTTTTGGTAAAAAAAAATTGTCCCCCTCCTTCCATCCCATTATGTCTGTCTTTCAAAATATATGTCATTTTCCTCTTCAAACAGAATCACAGAATCACTGTGGTTGGAAGGTGTTTCTGGAGATCATCCAGCACAAAACCCCTGCTAAAAAAGGTTCCCTACCATAAATTGCACAGGAAAGTGTCCAGGAGGATTTAGACTATCTCCAGAGAAAATAACCCCACTACCTCTCTGGGCAGCCTGTTCCAGTGCTCTGTCATCCTCAAAGTAAAGAATTTCTTATGCTCAGCTCAAACTTCTCCTGTTCCAGTTTGTGCCCACTGCCACTTGTCCTGTCACTGGCCACCACCCAGAACAGCCTGGCTCTATTCACCTCACTCCTGCCCATTAGATATTTGTAAGCATTGATAAAACCCCCTTCTCTGTCTTCTCTAGTCCGAACAACCCCATGTCTCTCAGCCTTTCCTTTAAAGGAGATGCTTCAAGCTCCTCATCATCTTTGTGGCCCTCCACTGGATTCTCCCCAGCAGTTCCCTGTTTTTCTTGAATAGGGGAGCCCAAAACTGGATGCAGTACTTCAGACATGGCCTCAGCAGTACTGGAAAGGGGGAGGATTGCCTCCCTTGACCTGCTGGCCACACTCTTTTCAAGGATACCGCTGGTATTCTTGGCCACACGAGCAAACTACTGTTTCATATCACTGTTGTGTGCATGCATGAGGATGTGCATGTGTGTCTCCATGGGACATACGTCATGCCTCGCTACTGGCTGAACTTGTAAAGGTGGGAGCTGCAGCTGCACCTATAGGTGTGAGACAGAAACATCCAGATCCCCTGGACATCCTCTCCAGGGGGAACCAAGATGGGCTCCAGCAGACAAGGAGCAGAAATCGAATCCCCAAGTTCTTGAGCTTATCAAAGGCAGCAGCATTACAATATCCCTTAATCATGTCCCTCCAGTATGAGGAAATGCGGGAACTACCGAGTCTTCCAGTGGCCTGGCTGGCTGCCTTTTATGTTGAACAATCTAGTGTATGTGAAAGATTATCCTAAAACTGCAGCCTCCTTTCTTTCCCAACCTCCCCAGATAAAAAGACAATAGCTTCACTTCCCTTCTTCCATTTTTTCCAGCAGGTGGGGCAGGGGAAGAAGCAGCTCAGCAGTTATGGCATCTTAGGAATTACATCAGGTAGGGGGAAATGGGCTGACTGGGAATCATCTTCCTTCCCTGAAAAGGTGGAAGATTGGATCGGTTTTGACAGACGCTCTGGAATCACTAAGGATGCATTCGGTGG